TTTTTTTTTTAAGACAGCTGGAAAGATGTCAAGTTAGGAGTATAAAATAAATTGAAACCTTGATAATGTCTGGTCTTAAGGCTCCTTTTAGCAAGCAGGACAATTAAATATACAGGGTTACTTGCATTAGGCGAAATGGGATATGGCTTTATCCAGTTTCTTCCCAGTGTTCAGATTTACTTTGGCTCTAATAGAATTAGGTGATTTGCCTGATACCCACAGTAATTAGATCCAAACTGCAGCAAAGCAGTATTCTTGGCCAGACTGTGATTTCTCTCCTCACCCTGCATGATTTATGGGTGAGAGTGGGGACCAGACTGATCCCCCACATCTGCTAGAGCCACTCACACGACTCTGTCATGTGCAGATGTATTTTAAAATGAAAACGGTGACAGAAGCAACTCCCAAGAGCAGGGAGCACCAAGGTGACATTTTCTTGATGTTAAAGTTTAAATGGAACAAACCCATGGATGGGAAGGAGCATCCCATGCAGCTCCCACAGTGACACCTAGAGCTGGCCTGGGAAAGGACAGGGTTACCCAGCTCAGGATGCTTCTGTGCCCCACACATATATATATATATACACACATATTTCCTATTCATTTTGTTCAGCATAAAGGGATAGCTCTTAATTTGATTTAACTCACTGAAAATTTCCTCTTGCCATAAATAGGAGCCTAGAGAGAATTGTTTTTCCACTGAGCACTGAAGCCTGGCTTTCAGAAGCACATGCACAGGCAATTGCACATTTCCTTTGCCTTTCATAGCTGCTTATTGCATGCATAAATAACCCTAGTTAGCTGTTTTCTTGCATATTTACAAGATGTCTGTGCATAATTGTGGCAGCACTATCAGCAGTTTAGTGCCAGCTCTGGCATGGTGCATTGGAGGGGCACTGTGGGCTTGGGCTGGCTGTCCAGAGGAGATTCCCTGTAAGCAGAATAGACTTTGCAATTCCTCTGAGGAGCTGGAATTTATTTTTTGATTCTTTAAGTTCTCTGGCTGTGAAGAGAACTGACTACCTGACTGAGGTAATTTGTGAATCTGTGATGCCTTCAGTTTGTACAGGCAGTAATTAGAAAGCAAGTGTGTGAGATTACTCACACTGGGAATAAAAGCTGCAATTACCTGAGGTGGACTCTGCTTGGAGGCATGGAAAGAAAAGAGAAAAGAGAAAGACAAGACTCTAAATATTGAACATAAATTCTGGCTCTAAAGAAAATTGTGAACATTTCATCCAAAGGAAAGGAAGAAGTGCTTTTGAGAACTTGTGGAAAACAATGAAATGTAGCATCTTTGATTTACTGTGTAAGGAAACAATGGATCTGCCAAGAGTCAACAGATTGATTTAATGTACAATTCCAGATGAAAGGAGGGGACTTAAAATGCACAGCAAAACCTTAGAATAATTTCACAGATCTCTTCCCCTTCAGAAATCTTTTACTTTCTTGACTAAAAGTCCTTTAAAAACCAAGTTAGCAAAATTGTCTGAACAAGGACAAACAAAGAGATGATGAGGGCTTGAATTTATTTTAAAACATGTTCTTTACAGCTTTTACAGGCTACAGGTCTCCAGCCTGGGGCAGAGCATTACTTGTTAAAGCCAATCCTGTTTATGTTAGATTTGAGCTTGATCTATAAATAGGAATCCAAAATGGATTTGAGCATTCTCTGTTTCAGATGTTAACTGCATTCCAGGCTGTGACTGTATCTCACTGCTCGGGCATTAGCTCTGCATAATTAAATACATTTTAAAATGTTTGTTGGATGCTGACCAAAAGAATCAGGAAAAGTTCAGAGATCCTGTTGGGACTCTCTCTCTCCATCAGAAAACCATATGATGGCAGGATCTGGTCTGCCATGGAGCAAGGCAGAGCAGCTGGACAGGCAGAGCAGTTGGAATTCCAAATCCCTTTGGGTCAAATCCCTCTGGGCAGCATTGTCAGCAGCAGACTGCCAGGACCCCTGCAGCATACAGCTTGAAAAGATGCCTGAGAGGTGACAGCTGGGACACCTTTTGTGTTGGGTGGGGTCTGTGGCTCAGGGAGGGAATCCAGGACTTGTGTTGGTGAGGTGACAAGGTGGGGAAGTCAGACGTGGTAGCTGGCCATGGCAGTGGGCTCAGGGATGTAAATGGAGCTGGGATTTTTGCAGCCTTGATCCAAAGTCTGTCAGAGAAAACAGAAGGAATCCCACCAATTTCACTAATCTTTGGACAAGACTCTAATCCCAAACATTCAAGCAAAAAGATATCTCAGGGAATTTTTTCAAAGCCTCCTGAAGTTAGGAAGATTTCTGATCACACCCTAGAGCCCTTACACTGGGTTAACAGGAAAGGTTAATGCTTCTTTCCATTTCCTTCTGCTTTGGAGGGAAAAGAGAGGCTTTGAATTGCCTGAAGATGAAAAGTAATGATGGCACTGGGATTTGTTTTTAGCAGTGTGCCAGTACATCCAGGAGCTGTGTGAGACTTGATTTGAAGTACCTGCTGTGAGCTAGCAGGTTTATAAAGCCTTTACAGAGCTGTTTGTGACCTATGCTGTTACAGTATATTAAAATACTTCAAAAAAATAAAAGGTGAATTTAGAGTGTGACTGGTGGTTCCTTTGGAGTCAGCACAGCCTTGTGTTGCAAGGATTTTGTAAAAATCCCCAAACCTGCTGATCACAGACTGACAGATTGCAGTGGTGAAGCATCCTCTACTCCCTGGAAAATGGGATGTGCTGCTCCTGGGTGTTGTGCATTCTTCAGGAATGGGCCTATGGGCAGCAGATAAAGGCATGAGGATGTTTCCAGGTGAGAAAAAGATGTTTGTTTGGGACAAACAAGATGACAGGCCACAGTGGCTAGAGGGACATGTTTAACTGAGGCTGGGCAGGAAAGGGAGGAGCACAGCTCAGAAAAGGAGAGTGTGCAGATGTGATGCTAGGTTAGGACAGGGGAAGTGATCTGACTTAGAGGGGATCATCTCCAGGTGAAATCTGCTCTTCTCTGGCATTGCCACTCCCAAAATTTGGACATCCTGGACTGCTCCAAGGCTGCTTAGTTTGCAGGTAAAGCAAGGTTCTTGTCGAGCTCAAAGGAGCAGTCCAAGCTCAGGTGTTCCCCCTCTGCAGGGATTACAATGCCAGGCTCTATCCATGGGTATATATCCATGGGTGTGGAGGGTGGCCTTGCCTCACCCCAGCCTGGCCAGCACATCTGTGCCACTGGAAGAGCAGACAAAGTGGGCAGAGCTGCACGAGGAGAGCAGCAGGAGGCCAAGGTGGAGCTCTGGCATTGGGTTTTCCATGCTCCATGTGGCTTCCACCCTGCCCTGCCCGAAAGCACAATGGGGCACAATTCCCACCCGTGTCCCCCTCTGGTTTCAGAGTTCCAAAGCTTGCTCCCAGCAGCAGTGGGAGCAGCAAAACTTGTCTTGGGGTCAGGCTACGGGTGCAACCAATGAAGGGAATACAATAAGATAGATCTAAAAAGTCGAGGGAGATGCTTTTGTCTTACTTCAGCTCAGTTCCTTCTGACAGGAAACCAGGCTTTTGTGCCTCATGGAAGAACTATTCTGAATTGTTAATCTTCTTCATACATTTCCCTGCTTGGTGATGACATCCTCGCTGTTGAGTTTGGCTGCTAGCAAAATCATTATCTGTCGAGTGGCTTTAATTAGCTGAGAAACCAGTCCTCTTAGTACTGAAGCTCTGTGCCTAGAGAAGGGTGTGCTAAAACTTACTTTTTTTCCTTCTTTGCATTGCTCTGATGGCAGGGGTGTTAGACTGGTGGGTCTCTAAGGTCCCTTCCAACCCAGACCATGCTGTGATTCTTTGAAATGCCAGGCCTGTGGTGGTGGGGAATGCCCTGTGTGTGTCCCTGGGGCAGGGGGCAGGGGGCAGGGGCAGCTCCAGCTGCCCACACTAACCAGGGCTGCTTCAGAGTGCACAGATGGCACCACAGGCAGGGTTTGCTCTGGAAAGTTTCTGCTGCTCATTGTCCTCAGGCTCTGAGCTGGGCATGAAGGAGCCTTGTGCTCCTCCTACCCTCAGGTGCAGATCAACTGGCCCGTCCTGCACAGGGGAGGGAGTTTAATCCAGGAAATCCTTCTGCTTCTGCTTTACCTGGTCAGTTCAAATTGCTTAATGCCCTTTAATTTCTAATTATTCATTTGTTCCTTTGGGATAAAGCGGAAAAGCAAGAAAAGGCTGGGATCAGCAAAACAGCAGGACAGGAGGGATTTTGCTCTAGGAGAAATGTAATTACACTGACTAGATTTGCATAGCATTTTGTTGCAAAAATATAGGTTACAAGTGCTGAAAGAGAGCTGATGACCTATTAGTGATAAGGCACAGAGATGAGTAATTAAAAAGATATGCAGCTAATGGCATTGATTAGAGAAAAAACATGTACAAGCTGTATAGGTGGAACAAGGGCAACTCTCAGCCAGAATTTACAGAGCAAGATAACTTGACATTTATGTAGTTCTCCAGTTGACATGGCTTTTTTCAGAGCTGCAAAGAAAGGGATTGATTATCTGATGATTCCTAGAAAGGATCTTTAAAAGACTGACTCATCCACACAGCCCTGCTGGCCTTCCCAACACAGAGGTGCATTTAGGAGTCAGGCTATAGGTCATTTATTTATTAGGCAGCTTGTGATTGAGGCAGCAGAAAAGCAGCTGTTTTCTGAAGTATATGTTTATCTTTTCTAAGTGGCCTTATCATCAAGTAAAACACATTTTTATGAATTCTTATATATATATATTTTAAATCCTAATTTTTATAAATACTGTAATCTGGCTGTTACTGTGACGTTGTCCAAGGTTTTCAGAATGGTATGAATGAGTATCAAATTCCCATTAGCTCCCAGCTGAGAGATGAGCAAAGTCACTGTCCTTGTCACCTTCACTGTCCCCTAGTGCCCTCCAAGCCAGGCCAGGCTGCTCTGCACAGCTCTGCTCTCATGCATGAACCACCTTGGGATCCCTGGAAGGTGATGGCTGGGCTTGGCTACATATCCATTGTGCACAGAGCAGAGGAATTTACATATCTCTGCTGCTCAGGAATAGTTATTAAATCACAGCAGAGATCAGAGATTGCTACAGTATCTGCTCATACTTTTAATTAAGCAGCTGTCTGCTGTGCACGGGGCTGTACATCCCAGCTGCAGCTGTCTGTGGAAGCACCCCATGTCCTTTCCCAGTGTGAGTCCCTTGTTAAAAGCGACTCCAAAAGCAAGAGATGGGGAAAACAAGACTCCAATGGTCTGCTCCTCTAGGTACTGTTCATCTGGGGTGCTTATGGAGCCCAAGGTGGTCAGAAAAAGGCAAAAAATTGTCAGGAAATACAATCCATGTTTAGCCCTGGTCAGCACTCAAAGCCCTTCCCTGCACTCTGCTGAATAATCTGTTGTCCAGCTGGGATGACCCTGATCACTCTGATACCACAGTGCTGAACTGATACAGAGAAAAACAGACATGATTTGGTTTCAAGGAAACTAAAGTGTCAGTAGATCCACATGTCTCATTTTAAAGCTGTTTTGTGTTTTTCCCCACAGCAATGAAATCAGGAGGCACCCAGCTGAAGCTGATCATGACATTCCAGAACTATGGACAAGCACTGTTTAAACCAATGAAGTAAGTAAAAAAAGTCTGTGATTTAAAGTGGAATTGTGGTGGAGTAGGCATTTTCTCAGCTGTTAAAAGTTTGCTGTAGGATCTCCCAAGGTTAATGTGTCTGGTCCCTGAGCCTTGCTGCTGAGCCTGGAGCTTCAGGGTCTGTTGATCCCTTGTCCTGCTAGACTGGTCTTTGGAAGAGATGCTGAGGAAGCTTCAGAGACATTACAGTCTTCTCAGGAATGTTATTCACTCTGATCTCTGTGAAATGTCCCATCATAAATACAGAGTGTTTTTAGCATTTGTATCTTATGTAAACTTATTGCACAGGTCTGAGCTTTATCTAGTGTCAGTGCTCCTCTGGAGCATGGCCAGACAAGAGAGATGATTCAGAACAGCTTTGGGAAGAGCTAAAGAGTATTTGTCTGATAAATTAGAATTAAATCAGTTGATTTATTGTTGTTTGTTTTAAAGAGTTGTATTAGTCATTTCATTGGGTCTATGCCGAGTCTGTGAAAATGAGTTTATCCAAGAGTGGTACTGCAAGGTAATGACTCTGGAGAGAAAGGGGAGGACCAAGGTTATGCAGCCTTGATTTGTGCCTGCCTGGATCCCACTGAGATGAGAGAAGTTATTCAGATACAAAACAGACTCCTGAATCCTGATGTGTATGTTTGTGTTGTAAGAAGGAAAATGACTCTGTGCTCGTTGTAGAGGGTTAGCAAAGACACTCAGGGCTGCAAAATGTTTAATGGAGCTATTCAGTGTCAAGGGTACCACTGGAATCATAAATTAATTTCCTTATTTGGTTCCCACTGTAGAGAAGTTCAGTTTATCTTCTCTAAGATGACCCACAGAAGACTCAGGTAGTGAGAATGGGAGGTTTGGAATGTGTTGGCACTCTCTCAGAGCTGTAGTGGGGAGCACAGCTCAAGGGGGAACTGCTGGTTGGAGACTGAGAGATTCCCTGCCCCATGACAGATTTTGCTGTAGATTAACTTCAGACAAGTACAGATTTGACTTGCTTTTATTTGACTGCCAGAAGGGTCAAAAAATTGGTCTGACCTTCATTCCACTGAAGTTTAAGCAGGAACTCTCCCTATGTGCCTCTATCCTGAGAATCACAAGAGAATCCTGTGAACTTCCAGAGAGCACAAGGCATTTCTGCAAAGGCCAAATGCCTCTGTGTCATCTCCCAAATTGCACACAAATCTCTCCACGTTTCTAGTGGATTGCTGGCTGCCTGGGAGAGGCTGGAGGAAGCACAGATAATACTGGCAACCCAGAGGGAAGGTGGTACCAGAGAGATCTGCTCCAGCACCTGCCCTTCCTCTCCCTGTGCCCTCCCTGAGGGTTTAGATCACCAGTGCATGAGCCCATCCCCTGTATCTGCAGGTTTCATGCATACACACACAATTCCTAATCATGTCTTGTCCCACATGCAAAATCAAGAGCCAGAGGATTCAGGCTGCTTTGAGTATTTGGCAGAGTTGTGGTTGCACTGCTGGCTTTTCACACCGTGTGTGATTTGCTCCTTCTTCATCTCCTCAGATGCAGATAATCTCAGTTTTTATCATTGCTATGACATTGTAATTCTGGCAGTGCTAATGAGGTCAAATCAAAATACTGTACCATGCACAGCCTCAGCAAGGTGATGGATGACAACAGAGGTGTAGCCACGTTCCTGTGTAGAAGCAATTACTACCACCCACTAGAACAATAACAGAAAATGATGATGTCTTAATCATTCTCTTGGCTTGATTTGAGGGGCAGCAACACCCTCTTTTCTCACTGCTCTTTGCACTGCATAAACCTCTGGAAGAAGCATCCAGCAGCTGCTTTTCCAGGCAGCACCTTCCAGGAGCAGCACTGCTGCAATTGTGCTGATTGTGGCTGAACACATTAGTGATTTGGAATAAGGGTATTTGCAAACATTTGTCTTCACTCTGATAACAGGGAACAAGCAGCCAGATGCTCAGCTAGCATAAATCTTCCTAGCTCCTTTGGCATCTGGTCCCACTGGCCTCTTTCTCCACCTTATGGACTGTGGTTGATGAAGTTCTTGGAAAGGTTTGCAGCATCATTTCTTTATACAGAAATAAGCAGACTAGAATGAAATTTAAAATAATAAGATAAAAAAACAGGCTTTAAATCTATGAGACTTATGGTTATAGGATCTTTTTAAGGTCCTTGACAGCTTCCATGATGTTTCTTGTGCTTCCCCTTTTCCATAGGGTACCCTTTTTATCCAGGTCTCACAAAGCTGGATGTTCCTTAGCTGGACAGGAGGCTGTAGGTAGCTCAGAGACATTTCTGCTCATCAGGGCTGGAAGACAATTTTTTTCTAAGTAGTTTAGAGCCATAAAATGTCATCCTGGTGACTACTTCTGAGATGAGCTCATTGAAGGAAGCTCTTGGTGGGTACTCAGGTTGTCTCCACCTGGTGCATCCTACATGTTTCACTTGTTTCTGTGTTACCAGCTCCTTGGCTTTTCAAAGCAGCAGATATTGCACTTTTTTTTTTTTTCCTCATGACTTGATGATCCTCTTGAGACAAACAACCTCCTTCATGAGCCCCAGGTAACACAACTGTTACATAGGGCTGAGTGTAGGATTTCAAGCCTGATCCCAAGGAATATTGATAATCCAGAGTTTCCCATCCTGTCTGAGATCTCAAATACTGAAAGCTGCATGGTGTGAGGTACATGGAGGGTATTATGTAGACATGAGGCCAGTCCCAGGCTCTACTTGGATTAGATTCACTGGAATTGCCTGGAAAGCTGTTTTTTGCCACAAAAAGTTGTACTCAGTGTCTTCCTAAGTGAATTAATACCTGTTTGAGTGGGATTGCAGCAGATAGCAGAGATCATGCCAGCCCTTCCCTGGCACAGCTGGGCATTTGCTCATGGGAGGGGAGCTCTCCAGACCTTTGGCAGGGAAGCCACAGCAAAATGTGCTCCCTGGAAAACTGCTGAACACACTGCAGAACTCCTCTGACTGCCCCTGCCCTTTCCCATCCTCCCAATTCCACACTTAATTTATCCAGGGAGCAAGCCAGCTCCGGAAAAGCCCAGGCAGAATTTGGAAATGGGGAAATGAGAATCAGCCTTTGGCATCTTTTGTGCTCTGTGTTTGACATTAACTGACAGCTCTTCATCTGGTCACTGATTCAGGCTAGTGGGGCAAATGAGAGAAGTGTAGCAGTCAGGGAAATGTGGTAACAGTAAATAAAGCCTGATCAGCTGCAATTATTTTATTTATCCATGGCTCTGCATCTTCATTTCTGAAATAATTGCCCATAAAGTATTGCAGAAGAAGCCAAATCTATTTATAAATCCTATGGCCCAGTAATAATAATTCCAAATGCATGATAGAAAAAGCACGTATTTGCTAAAACTCCAGGGAAGATTTAATGTATTTGCAATGTATTTTACAGTTAATGTGTACTTTTATTTAGCTCATAACAGTTCAATCATACAAAATTATTACCATATGGGACAGCAAAAAAATAGCAACCTCCCCTCCTCCCATGATTAGTGTATCTAACTGTACTAGTACTGTACATGCTACATAATAAAATTTATTTACACGACTGCTGATATCTGCAGTTGCAGCTTTCTGTGTGACTTATCAGGTAGGGATGGGTAGAGCCATAAATGTCAAAAGAGTTTTGGCTCACTTGTCCAAAAGGAGCATTTGTAGCTTTGTAGTTTTATTTGGTTCCCCTTTGTTTCTGCTGGCTCATGGAGTTAAATAGCTGGCTCAGCCACAAAACCAACACGCTATTTTTTTCCTCCCAAGGCTTTATTCTTGAAGAGGGAAATTCTGCTCCAGCAGAGCCAGCATTAGGATTCCTATTGCACACACTGGTGCCAGGATTTTGAGAGAGGTTTTTACAGTTCCTTATGGAAAAGCCAAATAGGATCAGATAGAAAATTATACCTTGTTATTGGAGTTGTGAGAAAAGTGTCCTGTGGTCTGTGTTTAGGAACGACATCTCTCATTCCCATTTTTATAGACTGCATTGTACAGATGTGTGCAAGGGGTATTCATTATAAAATCTTTGAGGCTTATTTGTTCCATTCAAAGAAACACTACTGTATCTAGTGAACTCAGTTTTGACTGAACACATAAAAGCCAGTTCTGCTCCAACTTTAGATTTTACTTGATATTTTTAACATCTTCTTTCTTTTCTTCTGATTTTACAAGTCACAGTACAGGATTAGAAAGAACCACATGACTGTTTCTTCCAACAGATGAAGTTTGCAGTTAAGTCTTTAATAAAGTAGAGCCAATTAGTCTCAGGGGGATAGCAGGCCAGAAGAGGATTTTGGGGTTGTGAAATCCAGTCCCCTTGAATCATGAACATTAATTAACTGATCAAACACTGCTGACTGTGTTATTTTTAACTCTGACTCTCGCTGTCCCTCCTGAAACTTGCTGCTGTGGAAATAATGCTGCCCATGGGAGCATCTCCATCTTCCTTCAGAGCCCTGACCCATCCCAGTGCCAAACACAAAACTGGCTGCCAGTCACAGTCTGGGGCAAACTGCTTCTCTACTGGAACAAGCACACTCACCTTTCAGTTCTGTGATGTTCCTGTAGCTATCTGTGGCTCAAAGACACAGCAGCTGTTAACTGGGCTGAGATCAAGCAGCCAAGGTCATCGAAAAGCTAATTCTGTCCCTCAGGGATGTGGTGTGACACCTGGGCTTGTGGTTTAGTGGTCAACACCATGTGCTGGGTCTTGAGTTGGGAGTTGGGCATGGCAGTGCTGTGTTAGAGGTTGGACTCAGTGATCCTAGGGGTCCTCCCCAATTTAAATGAGTATATGATTCTGTGATTTTTGTTTCAATGGACAAATCACAGCTTTTCACTGACTTTTAGATGTCATAGTGACAAAGGATTAGCAACATTCTTCAAATTTCTCTTTGATTTGCTTTTAGGACTGTTCAACAAATAATGCATCCTTTGGTAGGGATATTAAATAGTCCAAACAATGCCCGTAACACAAACAACTG